GTTCATTGTCATTTGCAGGGACATGGATGAGGCTGGAAACCATCATTCTCAGCAAACTAACTCAGGAACAGAAAACCAAATATCGCATGTTCTCACTCATAAGTGGGAGTTGAACAATGAGAACACATGGACACAGGGAGGGGAACATCACACACTGGGGCCTGTAGGGGGTGGGGGCTAGGGGAGGAATAGCATTATGAGAAATACCTAATGTAGATGATGGGTCGATGGGTGTAGCAAACCACCATGGCATGTGTGTACCTATGTAACAAACATGCACATTCTGCACATGTATCCCAGAACTTAAAATATAATTTTTTAAAAAGCTACTGAGGAAATAATAAGATTGATGTATTTTAATTATGTGAATATTATTCAGCACAGGAATGGTTTCAAAAGGGTCTTTACTAAACCCAGGTATATTATATATCTTATAAAGGGAAAAAATCTGAATAAAAATCTTTGTAATTAAAAATAAATTAAGCTGTGAAGCCATTTGTTTCTGGACTTTCTTTTTTGGGAGACTTTTCATTACTAATTCAATCTCATTACTCATTATTGGAATGCTCAGGTTTCTCATGTCTTTTTTGTTTAAAGTTGGTTGGTTGTCTGTATCTAGGAATTTATCAGTTTCCTCTAATCTTTTGAATTTATTTGTGTGTAGTTGTTCATAATAGTTTCTAATGATCATCTGTATTTATGTGGTCTCGGTGATTATGTCTCCTTTTTGTTTCTGATTTTATTGATTTGTTTTTTTCTCCATTTTTCCTTGTTCACTTAGCTAATGGGTTGTGAAGTTTGTTAATCTTTTTACAAACCCACAGCTCATATCATACTGAATGGGCAAAAGCTGGAAACATTCCTTTTGAAAACCAGCACAAGACAAGGATGTCCTCTCTCACCACTTCTATTTAACATAGTATTGGAAGTTGCTGACAAAAGAAAGGAACAAAAAAATTCTGACAAAAATAGAGGAGGTCAAATTATCTTTGTTTGCAGATGACATGATTCTATATTTAGGAAACCCCATCATCTCAGCCCAAAAGCTTCTTAACCTGGTAAGTAATAACTTCTGCAAAGTTTCAGGATACAAAAATCAATGTGAAAAAATTGCTAGTATTCCTACATACCAACAACAGACAAGAGCCAAATCACAAATGAACTCCCATTCACAATTGCCACAAAAAAATAAATATTTAGGAATACAGCTAATAAGGAAGTGAAAGACCTCTTTAAGAAGAACCATAAACCACTGACCAAAGAAATTATAGATAACACAATGGAAAAACAATTCCATGCTTATGGATAGGAAGAATCAATATTGTGAAAATGGCCATATTGTTCAAAGTAATTTATAGATTCAATGCTATTCCCATTAAACTATAATTGACATTCTTCACAGAATTAGAAAAAACTATTTTAAAATTCATACGGAACCAAAACAGAACCCAAATAGCCAAGGCAATCCTAAGCAAAAGAACAAAGCTGGAGGCACCTGACTTCAAACTATACTATAGGGCTACAGTAACCCAAACAGCATGGTAGTTGTAAAGGACAGATACATAGATCAATGGAACAGAATAGAGAACCCAGAAACAACATTACACACCTACGACCATCTGATCTTTGGCAAACCTGACAAAAACAAGCAATGGGGAAAGGATTCCTTATTTAATAAATGGTGCTGGCACAGCTGGCTAGCCCTCTACAGAAAACTGAAAGTAGACCTCTTCTGATATGATTTGGCTGTATCACCACCCAAGTCTCATCTTGAATTTATTTTCTATAATCTCCATGTGTTGTGAGAGGAACCTGGTGGGAGGTAATTTAATCACGGGGGTGGTTACCCTCATGCTGTTCTCATGATAGCGAGTGGTTTTTTCTTTTTTTTTTTTTAGATGGAGTCTTGCTCTGTTGCCCAGGCTAGAGTGCAGTGGCATGATCTTGGCTCATTGCAACCTCCACCTCCCAGGTTCAAGCAATTCTCCTGCCTCAGCCTCCCAAGTAGCTGGGATTGCAGATGTCTGCCGCCACGCCTGGCTAATTTTTGTATTTTTAGAAAAGATGGGATTTCACCATATTGGCCAGGCTGGTCTCAAACTCTTGACCTCAGTTGATGCGCCCTCCTCGGCATGAGCCATCATGCCTGACTGGGTCTTTATTTTTAATCCAATTGGCCAGTCTGAATCTTTTACTTGCGAAATTGAATCAATTTACATTCAAGGTTGTTTGACAGATGAGAACTTATATCTGTCATTTGATTTTTTTTTTTTTTTTTCTGGTCGTTGACTGTCTCTCCTTTATTTCTGAAGGGTGGTTTTGCTGGATATAATATTGACTGACAGTTATTTTCTTTCAGCATTTTGAATGCATCATTCAATTTTCTCTTGGCCTGTAAGGTTTCTGATGAGAAATCTGCTATCAGTATAAGGGGGATTCCCTTATATTTGGCTTGATGCTTTTCTCTTGTTGGTTTTATAATTCTTCCTTTGTCTTCGACTTTTGATAATTTGACTATAATGTCTCTTAGTCCCTTAGAGAGGATGTATTTGGGTTGAATCTATTTGGAGAATTTTGCACGTTCTGGATTTCGCTCTCTCTCTCTCTCTTCCAAGACTTGCAAAATTTTTTGCTATTATTTTATTAAATGTGTTTTCTATGCCTTTTTCTTTCTTTTTGCCTTCCAGAATTTTATAATGTGAACGTTTTTTGCTTACTGGTGTCTCGTAAATCCTGTAAACTTTATTTAAAAAAATTTTTTCCCCTTTTAAATCTTCATGTATTAGTTCAAAAGACCTATCTTCAAGTTGAGAAATCCTTTCTTCTAATTTTTCCATACTGCTGTTGAAAAATTGTTATATTTCATTAATTGACTTTTTCAGCTCTAAAATTTGTTTGGTTCTTTTTTTATGATAGCTATCTCTTTGTTGAATTTTCCATTTAAATCACAAACTGTTTTCCTGATTTTATTTGTTTATCTGTATTCTCCTTTATCTGAGCTTCCTTAAGATTATTATTTTGAATTTTTCTTCTGGCATTTCATATATTGCCTTATAATTGGTTCTGTTATTGGAGAATTACTGTGTTCCTTTGGGGGGGGTCTGTCATATTTTCTTGCTTTTTTATGTTTGATGTTTTTCTATGTTGATACTTAGACATCTGGTGCAATTGTTGCCTCTTCTAATTTTATGGTATAGGCTCCTTAGGATAAAACTTATTCATATATAATCCATTTCAGTGATGTTTGCAAATGTTCCTGTGACCTAGGTGGTGAGTTGGTGGCAGCAGTGGCACAGCTTTGCTGGGAGTTGGTTTGCCAGTCTGTTTTTCAGGCCATGGGTGCTTGTGTACACATGGTGGGTTATTCAACCTGACATCTGGCTTGCTGGGTTTGGGATTATGGGGCTGTTTCCCCAGCCAGGGGCACAAGCACATGATTGCTTGGCTATCCTCAGGGCATGTCTTCCAGGGGTGGACCCACTGGGTTTCTTAGGTTCTAGAGTGGGTGGGCAGCCAGTCAGCCAGTCTGGGGGCATGTCTGCTGGGAGTGGGAACACAAGGTTATTTCTCAGGCCCTGGGCACAGTTCCCCAGCTGCTCAGCTGGTCTGTATGTATGTCTACCAGGTAGGAAAATGGGGTGCCAGAGGCAGGGTGCTTTTATGCTTCCCTCCTGAGCTTCTGATGACCACAGGCACCTCTCCACTCCTTTTTTTCCCATTTATTTTATTGCATTTTAGGTTTTGGGGTACATGTGAAGAACATGCAAGATTGTTGCATAGGTACACACGTGGCAGTGTGATTTGCTGCCTTCCTCCCCATCACCTACATCTGGCATCTCTCCCCTTGCTATCTCTCCCCAGCTCCCCACCCCCCACCGTCCCTCCCCTATTTCCCCCCAACTGACCCCAGTGTGTAGTGCTCCCCTCACTGTGTCCATGTGTTCTTATTGTTCAACGCCTGCCTATGAGTGAGAACATGCAGTGTGTGATCTTCTGCTCTTCTGTCAGTTTGCTGAGAATGATGGTTTCCAGGTTCATCCATGTCCCTACAAAGGACACAAACTCATCATTTTTGATGGCTGCATAATATTCCATGGTGTATATGTGCCACATTTTCCCTGTCCAGTCTATCATCGATGGGCATTTGGGTTGGTTCCAGGTCTTTGCTATTGTAAACAGTCCTGCAATGAACATTCGTGTTCACGTGTCCTTATAGTAGAATGATTTATAATCCTTTGGATATATACCCAGTAATGGGATTGCTGGGTCAAATGGAATTTCTATTTCTAGGTCCTTGAGGAATCGCCACATTGCTGCACTCCTGCACTCTCCCTTTGATACTCCAGTAGAATCTTAGCCATCTATTCATTGCTTGGTCCTTTCTTGTGGAGGAGATGTGCACCAGAGGCCTCAGTCAGCCATCTTGCTGACATTTGCTTCTGCTATATTTTTCCCTTTGTACTCTAATAAGTAGAATAAAATGAGAAACGAACAGAGATGGATGGACCCTTCACAGTTTGGCTTCTAAAATTCTTGAGAAAGGGCAATGCTGTATTTACCTGGGTGAGATGCCCAACATTGGGCCAAATAACTTTGATTTAGAAGTGGTAGCTGAAGGAAGGGATATAACTGGACCAGCTCATGTGAGCTGCTCACATGGACCAATCTTCCTGGCTGGGGAAGAAGGATGCAGTAGACGCAGGCTTACCATTTTCAAAATAGTTCAAAACAAAGTATATCATGAAGGAGAATTACCGATTAACCACTTATAATTTTCAAGATATTAACACATTTGATGACATGACTTCTAACTTCTGTTTTACAATGGTTTCTTTTTTTTTTTTTAAATCAAATCAATGATATTGCATGTTTTACACTGATTTCTGTGTAATTTTAATTATGGTTAACTGATTGCCTATCACGTTGAATAAGACTTTGTGAAGAAATGCTGGCTTCCACTCTAAGTACATAAAATTGATTTCATTTATTCTTCTCTAAAGATTTTCTAGCTTCAAGCAGTTCATGTATGGATGGAACACAGATTACACAGAACAATTCAGCATTTCCCACAGAAGGTAATATGCTTCCTTAGTCATGGCCAGGACTGAGGGATGGAAAGTTGAGCTTTCTTAGAAATATTAGCGGATGGCCTGACTGGAAGCCAGCCTTATGACTACTTGAAGAATGTGGTGATCTGAGTACTGTGATATGAAGGATCCTGAATGACCCAACCTCTAGTTGTTCTCCAAACAAGCCTCTGAAGCTTTGTTAAGGTGGAGTGGCGGAAGAAGCAGGGATTTAACTACCTCTCAGATCTATGTTAAAGTACTATCTCTTTCTTCATCTAGTTATGTGTTTATTAATTTGCTGTGAAATACAAGGGCTGGAGTACAAACCATGTAAGAGACAGGTGACACCAAAACAGGATAGGAGAGAGATTACATACAGGGTTTAACAAAAACATCCTTCATCCACATAAAGGTTTGCCCCTTTATAGCTGATTCTGCTGATGCTATAGTGATGAAATCACTGACACCTTTGTTATAGGTGAGTAGTGACAGATACTTTAGATGACTAATTATCTCTCACCAAACCCTTACCAAGTCACCAACTTGTTGATTTATGGGATGTGTGAGGTTCTATTTTGGAAGATGCTTGTAGGATGCAGGGCTTAACTTTTCCTTTAAATGATGGAGAGGGATCAACTTACGCACAGTGTTGATAATTGGATTGGGTATACAGAAATAAAATCTGTGAGTTAAGTTCACAGCTGAACTTCCTGAAAGTGGATGTGTGGCTAAATAGGAAGGAATGAAAACTCATCTAAAGGCTATATTTGATAATTTCATTGATTTTCTATAAAATACTTTTAATGAAAAATGTCTAAAGGGAAATATATCTTTCTTAAAAATTATATATCACACTACACTTTCAGAAGAAATAAATATTTCTAAGCATCTCTCATCAGTAGGCATAATCATTTTTCATTTTTATGGGATAGCTCAACTTGTGAAATAAGTGGTTTTTTTTTTTTAAAGATCTATGGATTTTACCAACTTTGTGATTCCTTAAATGAAAAATGAACTTAACAAAATTTCTAGCTAGTTCAACCCAAATGCCATATTAGTTACTTTAAAAGAAAGAACTATATATCAATACTTATCACATTTATGTTTGTCTGAAACAAAAACATAGAGATAGACTTTTTGTGCTCATCAGAGCTGAGGAGGAGACAACCACATCACTAATTTTTCCATTTTCTTTCCTGTGGCACATAAATTGCATGATAAAGACAATAGTTTCCACCATCTAAAGATTAGATGTAGAACATTGCCTTTGTTGTTTAATTTACAATCTCTTTGTTCCTCGATATTAAAACTTCTGAGTGAATATCAAAATACTTTATCAAATGTATTATATTTCTAATAATACATAATACAGCAGAAAATTGGTTAATCTCTGGATTGGTTTCAATATATTATTTATATTTTGTGAATTTTAATTTTTTATGAAAGTCTAATATTTTGGAATAAGATCAGCAAAGTTATGTTCTAGTGTAACTTCATGTGATATGTTAATAAATGTAACACATGAAATTCTTTATTTTCTTTTATCATTCTCCTTTCATGTATGCGTCCAGTAAATATTTCATGGCCTATACTGATGGGTAAAAATGCTGTGCTTTGCTGCCCTATCACATTAAAATATTTGATCATAACATGGGAAATAATCCTGAAAGACCAGCCTTCCTGTAAAAAAGCCTACAAGAAAGAAACAAATGAGACCAAGGAAACCAACTGTACTGATGAGAGAATAACCTGGGTCTCTAGACCTGATCAGAATTTGGACCTTCAGATTCGTCCAGTGGCCATCACTCACGACGGGTATTACAGATGCATAATGGGCGCACCTGGTGGGAATTTCTATCATGGATATCACCTCGAAGTGTTAGGTAAGGAGCATCACATATTGTGGTATTTCACATCACCAAATTTGTGACTGAAGCAAGTGTCTCTCTGAATTCCATATGCTTTATGTGAAAACCGAAGCATTTTTTTCCCTTTCCTCTCTGCAGTTACTCCTGAAGTGACCCTGTTTCAAAGTAGGAATGGAACTGTAGTATGCAAGGCAGTTGCAGGGAAGCCAGCTGCACAGATCTCCTGGATCCCAGAGGGGGATTGTGTCACTGAGCAAAAATGCTGGAACAATGGTACAGTGACTGTTAAGAGTGCATGCCACTGGGAGGGCCACAATGTGTCTACCGTGACCTGCCGTGTCTCCCATTTGACTGGCAACAGGAGTCTGGACATAGAGCTACTTCCTGGTCAGTAATGGTTTTAGTTTTGACTTTTCCCCATTCTTTTAAAGGAGTTATATTAGGAAAAAAAAAAAAAAGAGGTGTGCAAATAGATTTTGTTCAAGGATGCTCTCTCTACTGTTCATTTTTATCTCTTCCCTGACCAAAATAAAGAGATATGTTTCAGAGAATAGTCCAAGCATTTGTGGAAAAAAGCCCTTTTTCAGAATGCCATTTAATTCTATGATTAATGTTCACTTCCATGTTAGTAGTTAATTGGCATGAGTATTCTTTTAAAAATAATACTTATGGTTTATTGAAAAACAAAGTATACTTTGAAGCCCATAATTATGGTTTTATTAGAAGAATACATTCATTCATAAGTTGCTTTTATGAATTTTTAGTTTGGTGTAATTTTATTTTCTAGGCTTTTCATCACTGAATTTCTTAAATGTCTTATAATAACATTATGATTCAGTTCATCACTGTTTATTTACTCTCCTCTCATCCTACTCTCATTTCTTATTATTTTAAAATGATTAAATATCAACAAACATATTGAAAGTGCAATTGTTCTGTAAGGCTTCATGAAAACCATTAGCCCTACCCTTGTCTTTCCAATCCAACTGCCATCTCCATTAAACTCCCCAGAGGTAGGTTCTTTCAAATTTTCCAGTGTTTCTTCTAGTAATTGGTGCCATTTTTATATAATGTGCACATAGTGCTATTTCTTACTGTATCAAATTTAGACATTATGTAATCACAACTTCTTATGGTAGATGAGGATTTCACATTACCTTCTTCATTTCCTTCAAACTTCAATTGAGGTAATGCAATTGTTCATTCAATAGCCTATGTTCCCATTAAACTGAATATTTAAGTACTGTTAAGTGCTGGATCAAGAAATACACTCATGCTTTCCCTTTTGAATGACACTTTTTTGGACTTTATCATTGCTTTACCTCTTTTGTTTCCTTAAGAATGTAGTTACCTGTTGTAAACTATCATTAAGCCTACTGACAAAACTAGAGAGCCCTTGAGTAATATATTCCATATGGGCAGATTTATTAGGTAAGCTGTTAGTTCTATTTTTTCTCAAAGTCATTCTTGAATTTTTCTACGTGCTTGGTCTAATCTCCTGATTGGCCTCTAGACCTGCTGTATAGCTATTGTCTTGGACACTCTCATTGCCTCAATTTTCTTCTTAGCCTGTATCTATGTAATCTGAGTTTCTTTTGTCTTCTACACATTTAACTCTTTCCTTCATATATGAAACTTTTCTTAACTCTTTGGTAGTCCTTGGGTATGGATCATTTTGAAGTGAGTACTAATGAGCTAATTGGAAGCTCTACTAGTTAATGGTTGTGTTTGCCAACCAGTTAGCTTCAGTACAGTGAAAATGAGCTACGTGATTTTTTAATAATTAGCAGATTTGTTATATATCTGAAAGCCTTTTCTCTGGGGCTGTTCAGGCTCTGCAGAAATCAACTCAGCAGTCTCTGGCCTTGGAGAGATAAGCCTACCAGTGTTTGGGAAGGGAGAGAACAGTGTATGTGTGCGAGTGTGCATGTGAGTGCAGCACTGTTGAGAATCAGACTTTCCTTCATACCTGTATTCAGTGTGGTATGTTACTCTCACCCTCCCTGATGTCTGGATCCTTGACTTTGGAGTCTCTCCAGGTCATCTTCTCTAGGCCAATCTCCCCTTTTCCTGCCGGTTGGGAAAGGTGTGCGACCTAAGATGGGGCAGGAGACATGGCAACCTGCCTGTTCTCAAGACAAACTTTAGAGAAGCTCTGAACTTTTAGCCCCACTCTTCACCCCTCCACATACTCCTTTTTCTACATTTTGTGGTTCCTACTCTAGAGGCTTCCTGGAGTTTTTGTGTGTACTAAGGTTTTTATTTATTCTATGTTGTAAATCATTAGCCAGTTTTCTATTCATTTCTCACTTAAAAACAGTGTGAAATCTTTCATCTGTTCTTGTCTTCGTCCCTCTTCACTTTGTCTTTGCAGATCTACACTAAAAAAATCTTTTTACTAACACTTTAGTAAGTTTGAATGAGGGAGAAGAGAAAAATCTCATGTGTTGAAACCACCATTTTTTTATATGTATTATTTAAGTCATATTTTTTTTAGTAGTATTTACTGAAAAGAGCAGTTGTGCCTTGGTTATGTATGAAATCTCACCATTTCATATTCCAATATGATGTCAGATTTATAGTGTCTCAGAATTGAAGGGAACTTCTTGTTCAAAATCCTATGTAGTGCAAGGATGTCCCTGATGTCTTCCTTGCACCATGGATCGTCAGCCTCTCTAGTACACACTCAATGAGAGAGACCTTAGTGTTTGGAAAACAAGGGTTTTTAAAAATGTTGTTTTAAACAGTGAAACCAAACATTCTATTTTCATATAACATATGGAAAAATTCAATATTTAAAAACATCAACTTTGGAAGGAAAGTGGGAGGACCAGACACCAGCCTGCTCAGTTTCCACTTCATCTCCTTCTGCTGCCCCTGAGCCATATTCACGCAACACCAGGAGCATAGTTTGCAAATCATTGCCTCTCAAGTTGGCAATTCCTTTGTTGACTTGCATGCTCGTCAGAGTTTTGTATTGCTGCTGGAAGCTAATAAATAGAGTTCCTGCTATGTATTCATTTTAGTTTCAATGCCCTGGCAGAAAGATGATTGCAGAATTAGGGTTACTTTTTCAAGGACCTTCCTTACAATTGCCTATTTATTAATAAATGCCATTACTGCCCATTTATGAATGTTAGAGGGAAGAAACACTCACCTATAAAAGAGTGGTAGAAATTCACCACTCATGAATCTTTAAAGCAACAAAATCCTAATATAAGGTGATGTCTTGCTGAAAACTGTGGAGTCTGCATTGAACAAGCAATTTTAATAATTCTCAACCTATTAATGGGTCAGAAGTATTGAAAATGAAACTACAGATATCAATTTCATGTAATGTGAGACATTATTGAGCCATCTATATCTATAGACATGGATATAAATATAGATAACTTTATTTTTAGTAGACGTTAATTTTTAGAGCAGTTTTAGGTTCACAGCAAAACTGAGTGGAAAGTACAGAAATTTCTCATATAACCCCTGCCCTTGCCCATGTCCACCTCCCCCACCTACAGGTATCCTGCACCACAGTGTTACATTCATTAGAATTGTTGAACCTCCACTGATACAACACTACCACCCAAAGTCCATACTTTATACATTAGAGTTCACTCCTGGTGTTGTACGTTGCATGCGTTTGGACAAATGTGTAACGACATGTATCCACCAGTATAGTATTATACAGAACAGCTTTATTGTCCTACACAATCCTCCTTGCTCTTCCAATTCCTCCCTCCTTCCTCACCACCAATCAATGATTTACTGACTATTCCCCTAGTTTTGTCTTTTGCATAATGTCTTACAATTGGAATCATACAATATGTAATCTTTCCAGATTGGCATGTTTCACTTAGTAATATACATTTGAAATTCCTCCAAGTCTTTTTATGGTTTGATAGTGCATTTTTTTATATTTTTATTGCATTTTAGGTTTTGGGGTACATGTGACGAACATCCTAGATTGTTGCATAGGTACACACATGGCAGTGTGATTTGCTGCCTTCCTCCCCATCACCTATATCTGGCATTTCCCCCCATGCTATCTCTCCCCAACTCCCCAGCCCTGCTGTCCCTCCCCTATTTCCCCCCAACAGACCCCAGTGTGTGATGCTCCCCTCCCTGTGTCCATGTGTTCTCATTGTTTAACACCCACCTATGAGTGAGAACATGCAGTGTTTGATTTTCTGTTCTTGTGTCAGTTTGCTGAGAATGATAGTTTCCAGGTTTATCCATGTCCCTACAAAGGACACGAACTTACTGTTTTTGGTGGCTGCATAATATTCCGTGGTGTATATGTGCCACGTTTTCCCTGTCCAGTCTATTATCGATGGGCATTTGGGTTGGTTCCAGGTCTTTGCTATTGTAAACTGTGCTGCAGTGAACATTCATGTGCATGTGTCCTTACAGTAGAGCGATTTATAATCCTTTGGATATATACCCAGCAATGGGATTGCTGGGTCGAATGGAATTTCTATTTCTAGGTTCTTGAGGAATCGCCACACTGTCTTCCACAATGGTTGAACTAATTTACACTCCCGCCAACAGTGTTAAGAGTGTTCCTATTTCTCTCCATTCTCTCCAGCATCTGTTGTCTCCAGATTTTTTAATGATCGCCATTCTAACTGGCATGAGATGGTATCTCAATGTAGTTTTGATTTGCATTTCTCTAATGACCAGTGATGATGAGCATTTTTTCATATGTTTGTTGGCCTCATGTATGTCTTCTTTGGTAAAGTGTCTGTTCATATCCTTCGCCCACTTTTGAATGGGCTTGTTTTTTTCTTGTAGATCTGTTTTAGTTCTTTGAAGATTTTGGATATTCACCCTTTGTCAGATGGGTAGACTGCAAAAATTTTTTCCCATTCTGTTGGTTGCCAATTCACTCTAATGACTGTTTCTTTTGCTGTGCAGTAGCTGTGGAGTTTGATTACATCCCATTTGTCTATTTTGGCTTTTGTTGCCAATGCTTTCGGTGTTTTGGTCATGAAGTCCTTGCCTATGCCTATGTCCTGAATGGTTTTGCCTAGATTTTCTTCTAGTGTTTTTATGGTGTTAGGTCTTATGTTTAAGTCTTTAATCCATCTGGAATTGATTTTAGTGTAAGGTGTCAAGAAGGGGTCCAGTTTCTGCTTTCTGCACATGGCTAGCCAGTTTTCCCAACACTATTTATTAAACAGGGACTCCTTTCCCCATTGCTTGTTTTTGTCACTGAATAATAAGATAGTACATTATTTGGATTGTACCACATTTGAACCCTATATTTTTGTGTTTGTAGTTGCAGGTGCCAAAAAATCGGCAAAATTATATATTCCATATATCATCCTTGCTATTATTTTGATCATCGTGGGATTCATTTTTTTATTGAAAATCAGTGGCTGCAGGTATTGACTGATGATTTTTCTTCTTCAGCTTAATTAGGCTAGAAAAGAGTCAGAAATATGGAACTGATTGGGGTATATTAGGATGTCAACATCAAATTTCCCATAATCAGATCTTGAGGGTATTAGACTTGGACTACTTTGAATGATTACAGAAATTTTGCTAGGTTGCTTTTGCATAGAAGCCTGGGAAATTAGGCCATTTAGGACAGGATCTTGGGAGAGAAAGTGCATGTTAATTTTTACATTTGAGTAAATAATTAGAATTTCTTCATGTACCAAAGAGGAGTTGTTACATGCATTCAATTGCGTCAAGCTTATATTGCATAATTTCATTTCCTTTTTCAAAATCCAGAATATTCTTACTTGGGGTTATTAATCACTAGCAGTATTCTTCACTCATTTCTAGTAGTTTCTTTCTGATTTATTATGGCTTCTATCAAAATTAACCACAATTGTCAATAGAATACTGTCTTATTTTTCCCATTTTCAATCTAAACAATGATGTTTCCTCCATTCACTTCAGTGTATTTTATTTTTATAGAAAATATAAGTGGAATAAAACAGAAGCTACTCCAGTTGTTGAGGAGGTAAGATAAAAAAGAATACTTACAAACTTAAGCCAATAGTCTGGAAAATCTAGCAACTTAATTTGTAGTTTGTGTCAATATTAGTGTTTCAGTTGAAAAACAAACAATTCTGATTTACAATGCTTATATGTGTGATTACTTTGTTAATTATCTATCAAATACTATTTATACATCACTCTAGATCCACATTTTCACTTCATGAACTATATCCTAAAACACATGATGTTTGCCTCCTTTGGACTGTAATCTTTGGAGAAACTGAATTGGTGTCTATTTTCACCAATTTAGGGCAGGATCTTGGGAGAGAAAGTGCACGTTAATTTTTACATTTGGGTAAATAATTACAATTCCTTCAAGTACCAAAGAAGAGTTGTTACACGCCATCAATGAAATGCTTTCTGAGGCATCTCTAATTGCTGACTTTTCCTTTTCAATACTATCATTTCTCTCTTACACAAACTTAAAACATATCCTGCTCCTCAATCTCTTATTATAAGTAGCATACTAACTCTCCAAAGCTCTCCTTTGGAATACTTCTCGTATTGCTTCATTCATCTCCATTCCTACTTTCACAGAGCCATTGTCTCCACACAGAGACTTGTGTAATTGATAAATACTTTTTGATAAAATGTTATAACAAAACCTGCTCTTATGTTTATATAAGCCCAGAAACACAACTATAAGCACTCTGGAGCACCTGTTAGAAATAGAGCTATGAGTTACTGCTACAAAAATACAGATAGTTTCTATAAAGATTATTTTGAGTTGATTTTAACTTTGAGTTCTTTCTTAGGATGAAATGCAGCCCTATGCAAGCTACACAGAGAAAAACAATCCTCTCTATGATACTACAAACAAGGTGAAGGTATCTCAGGCATTACAAAGTGAAGCTGGCACAAGCCTCCATGCTTTATAATTTGTTGGACTCTTGCACCAAACAACAACAACAACACACAAGATACATTTTAATTACTGTCTGATTTTCTTACAGTTCCAGAATGAAGACTTATATTGAAATTAGGTTTTCCAAGGTTCTTAGAAGACATTTTAATGAATTTTCATTTATACCCTTGTATAATTGGAGTTTTAGATTCTTAGCTACCAGCTAGTTCTCTGAAGAACTGATATTACAAAGAAAATACATGCTCATGACCAGATATTCAAATTTTGCAGGACAGTAAATAATGAAAACCAAATTTCCTCCAGAAATAACTGAAGAAGGAACAATCATGAACAGTTTCTTGTGTATCCTTTCAGAATATTTTTATGTACATATGACATGTCTATATGCCTATGGTATATGTGTCCATTTATATGTCTATTTATGTATACATACAGATATCTTTGTCAAGGCACCAGTGGGAACAATACACTGCAATACTGTTCTATACATATGAAAACCAAATAATATAAGTCTTAGAGATCATTTTATATCATGACAAGTAGAGCTACCTCATTCTTTTTAATGGCTATATAAAATTCCATTGTATAGTTATATTATTATTTAATTAAACACAACTCTAATGATGGACATTTAGATTCTTTTAGGTTTTGTTCATTTCTTTTAAGTTTTGTTTGTGGCATAAACACCACCACATAGAATGTTTCTTGTGACTATGTCTCTTTTTGTTTGAGTATATCTGTAGGATAATTTTCTTAAGTGGAATTGTCATGTCAAAGGGTTTATAAATTTTAGCATTGACATATATGTCAAATTGTGTCAAATACATATGTCAAATTCCCTGCAACATTGTTTAAATGTGCCCTTCTTTAAATTTCTATTTTAATATCTGTAAGATTCCTGCTTCTACAGTTGCTTTTTCTTTTTAATCAACCAGATTAAATATGATGTGAGATTATAATAAGAATTATACTATTTAATAAAAATGAATTTATATTTTTGGTCATGTTTGTATGAGAGTGAATGCACCTGTGAGAACATTAGCTTCTTCTGAACTCATTATATCACTACAGAGGTGTTGATGTTTGATGCCTAACAGTTTTGCAGATGTGCTACATTGGAATCGTGTATTTTTAGGGTACACATTCTACTGTGATACATTTATTGAATAATGAATGTCTACTGACCGTATCAGCAGCAAAATATGCACCATAGAGGACATGGGGCATTATTTATAAGATATGAGCTACGTGACAAGAGAGTGGCCATGGGATGGCACGTCCCTCCCCTCCATATTTCTGTAGAGCCAAATATTGGCAATGTGTAATTATTTTTAATATCATGAAATTATTTTTAATTATAAAAAATAAGTCTATTTGCTCCATAGAAGAAAAAAAATTAAAAGGTTTTTTTGTCATGATAGAAATTAAAACAAAATGTATTCATTCTTCAATCATGCCATCTGAGACTTTTAAGACAGCTATTTTCTCTTATATTTTTCTCCCTCTAGACATTTCAGTTACTATGGACTTTAATCCTTAAAAGGATTCTTAGTCTATTTTGGATGTAAAGCTAATCTAATGACACTTGGCACCTGATATTTTGATCAAAACATTTTGACTTGGCCAAAAAACACAGTCCATTAGATTTCTGCATATAAATATGACCAAGCAATGTTCACAAGAGACATGATTACACTGTCCTTGAACTTTATTAATTCTTCATCCAACCCTGCTTGAGCTAAGCCTCATAGTTAGTTAGGTCCAAGACCATCTTTTTAAAAATTACCGATAAAGTAAGACAGTACTATACTTACCTCTTAACTTGATAATGTCAAAACAGGCATGTTAAATGACATCACAGTAAAGACTTCATGATAATTTATGAAAGTTAAGTACTGTATTGTACAGAAAATAATTGTACTAAAATCTTAATTATGGGCTGGAACAAGGGTGAACATTATAATCATATAAAAAATTATACATATTCTCCAAACCCGTGCTAGACCTGTCAAATTAGAAAATCTAGAGATTATACCTGGTAGGTCAGCAAGGTCATCCAGGAAGCAAAGGCTGAGATGGAGTTAGGTGTGATTACTTACACAGTCAATTACATTTTACAAATCTCATTTTATATGTCTCATTTACTGTATTTTCTCCCCACCCCATTTTGTATCTTTTTTTTTGCTTTGCTAGATTTGTCAATTTTCTCTCTGTCTCTGACTCTCTGTCTTTCAACATCTCCAGTTATGTGAAAGTTATTCATCATAATTATACATCTATTGAGTCTATGCTTCATTTGCAAACTTCTGAAAACAGCTTTACTGAGATATAATTGATATATTTAAGTGTATAGTTTGTTAAATATTGACATATTTAAAATGTACTGTTTGGTATATGTTGACCTAATTTTACATCTGTAAAGCTATCAGCATAATCAAGATAATAAACTTATCCATCATCCTCCAAAATTTTCTTGTTTCTTTGTGAGCCTGTCCCTACAATCTTCTTGTTTCTCTTCATCCCTCGCCTCCAAGACAAGCTCTGATTTGCTTTCTGTAGCTATGCATTAGTTTGCATTTTCTAGAATTTTCCGTAAAGAGGATCATACAATAGATTTTTTTTTTGGTTGGACTTTTTTTCTCATTATAATTATTTTGAGAAATATGTACACATTGATACTTTATATGTTTTATTGCAAATATTGAATTTTATAACTAAAATTATAAACTAATAAATAATATACAATAAATTATATATTATATAATTATATATTATATAATATATTATATATATTATTATATAATTATATGTTTTATATTTTATAATATATAATTATAAATGATTTATATAATATATATTTATTATATATGTTTATAATTTTAGTTATAAAATTCACTATTTGCAATAAAAAGTATAAAGTATCAATGTGTAGATATTTCTTAAAATAATTATGAGAAAAGAAGTCCAACCAAAAAAAAGAAGAAATACCCATCATCTACATTAGGTATTTCTCATAATGCTATTTCTCCCTTAGCTCCCCACACCCAACAGGCCCTGGTGTGTGATGTTCTCCTCCCTGTGTCCATGTGTTCTCATTGTTCAACTCCCACTTATGAGTGAGAACATGTGGTGTTTGGTTGCCTGTTCCTGTGATACTTTGCTGAGAAGGATGGTTTCCAGCTTCATCCATGTCCCTGCAAAGGACATGAATTCATCCTTTTGTATGGCTGCATAGTATTCCATAGTGTATATGTACAACGTTCTTTATCCAGTCCATCATTGATGGGCATTTGGGTGGTTCCAAGTCTTTGCTATTGTGAACAGTGCTTCAATAAACATATGTGTGCATATGTTTATAGTAGAATGACTTATAATCCTTTGGGTACATACCCAGTAATGGGATTGCTGGGTCAATTGGTATTTCTTTTTTTTTTTATTTTTTATTTTTTATTTTTTTTTTGAGACGGAGTTTCGCTGTTAACCAGGCTGGAGTGCAATGGTGTGATCTTGGCTCACCGCAACCTGGTATTTCTGGTTCTAGATCCTTGAGGAATCACCACACTGTCTTCCACAATGGTTGAACTAATTTACACTCCCACCAACAGTGTAAAAGCATTCCTATTTCTCCACATCCTCTCCAGCATCTGCTGTTTCCTGACTTTTTAATAATCGCCATTCTAACCGGCATAAAATGGTATCTCATTGTGGTTTGATTTGCATTTCTCTAAGGATCAGTGATGATGAGCATTTTTTTTTATGTTTGTTGGCCACATAAATGTCTTCTTTTGAGAAGTGTCTGTTCATATCCTTTGCCCATCTTTTGATGGGGTGGTTTGTTTTTTTCTTGTAAATACGTTTAAGTTCCTTGTAGATTCTGGATATTAGTCCTTTGTCAGATGGATAGATCGCAAAATTTTTTTCCCATTCTGTAGGTTGCCACTCTGATGATAGTTTCTTTTGATGTGCAGAAGCTCTTTAGTTTAATTAGATCCCATTTGTCAATTTTGAATTTTTTTGCCATTTCTTTTAGTGTTTTCGTCATGAAAACACTAAAAGTCTTTTGCCATGCCTAAGTCCTGAGTGGTATTATCTAGGTTTTGTTCTAGAGTTTTACAGTTTTAGGTCTTACATTTACGTCTTTAATCTATCTTCAGTTAAATTTTGTATAAGACGTAAGGAAGGGGTCCATCTGCAGTGTTCTGCATATGGCTAGCCAGTTTTCCCAACACTATTCATTAAATAGAGAAGCTTTTCCCCATTGCTTGTTTTTGTCAGGTTTTTCAAAGATCAGATGGTTGTAGATGTGTGGCATGATTTCTGAGGCCTCTGTTCTGATCCATTGATCTATATCTCTGTTTTTGTACAAATATCATGCTGTTTTGATTACTGTAGCTTTGTAGTATAGTTTGAAGTCAGGTAGCGTGATGCTGCCAGGCGTTTTTTTTTTTTTTTCTTTTGAGATGGAGTCTCTTTCTGTCACCCAGGCTGGAGTACAGTGGTGCCATCTTAGCTCACTGCAACCTCTGCCTCCTGGATTCAAGTGGTTCTCTTGACTCAGCCTCCTGAGTATCTGGGAGTACAGGCATGTGTTGCCAGGCCTGGCTAATTTTTGTATTTTTAGTAGAGACGGGGTTTCACCATGTTGGCCAGGCTCGTCTTGAACTCCTGACCTTGTGATCCACCTGCCTCAGCCTCCCAAAGTGCTGGGATTATAGGTGTGAGCCACCTCATCCAGCCTCCTCATGCTTTGTTCTTTTTGCTTAGGATTGTCTTGGCTATATGGGCTCTTTTTCAGTTCCATACAAAATTTAAAGTAATTTTTTTCTAATTCTCTGAAGAAAGTCAACAGTAGCTTGATGGGTATAGCACTGAATCTATAAATTACTTTGGGCAGTATGGCGATTTTCATAATATTGATTCTTCCTATCCATGAGCATGGAATGTTTTTCCATTTGTTTGTGTCCTCATTATTTCCTTGAGCAGCGTTTTGTAGTTCTCCTTGAAGAGGTCCTTCACATCCCTTGTAAGTTGTATTTCGAGGTATTTTATTCTCTTTGTAGCAATTGTGAATGAGAGTTCACTCATGATTTGGCTATTTGTCTATTATTGGCATATAGGAATGCTTGTGATTTTTGCACATTGATTGTGTATCCTGAGACTTTGCTGAAGTTGCTTATCAGCTTAAGGAGATTTGGGGCTGAGATGATGAGGTTTTCTAAATATACAACCATGTCATCTGTAAACAGAGACAATTTCACTTTCTTTCTTCCTATATGAATATTCTATATATCCTTCTCTTGCCTGATTGTCCTAGCCAGAACTTCCAATACTATGTTGAATAGGAGTGGTGAAAGAGGACATCCTTGTGTTGTGCCAGTTTTCAAAGAGAATGCTTCCAGCTTTTACCCATTCAGTGTGATACTGGCTGTGGGTTTTTCATAAACAGCTCTTATTATTTTAAGATACATTCCAACGATACCTAGTTTATTGAGAGTTTCTAGAGTGAAGGGATGTTCAATTTTATCGAAGACCTTTTCTGCATTTATTGAGATAATCATGTGGTTTTTGACAGTGGTACTGTTTGGATTATTATTATGGATTATTATTATGGATTATTATTATATGATGGATTACGTTTATTGATTTGTGTATGTTGAAGCAGCCTTGCATCCCTCAGATGAAGACCAGTTGATTGTTGTGGATATGCTTTTTGATGTGCTGCTGGATTTGGTTTACCAGTATTTTATTGAGGATTTTCACCCTGATGTTCATCAGAGATGTTGACCTGAAATTTTCTTTTTTTGTTGTCCCTCTGGCAGGTTTTGGTATCAGGATGATGCTGGCCTCATAAAATGAGTTGGGGGGACTACCTCCTCTCTATTCTTTGGGATAGTTTCAGCAGGAATAGTACCAGCTCCTCTTTGTACCTTTGGTAGAATGCAGCTGGAACCTGTCTGGTCCTAGGCTTTTTTATTTTTTGGTTGGT